TTGCTGCTTCTTGTTCGTCACGAGTCTCCTTGACCTCAACTAGGCTTTCTTTACTTGTTCCTACACACGACTTTGTAGGTTTACCAGATGCTTTGAAGTTACCATCACAAAAGGTCAATGATAGCCAAACAGGGTTCGATTTTGAAAAATAAAACCTGCTTGATAAGCTTTCTCATCTTTGAATGAAAATAACCCATATAAACCACTAGTGTTTGTTTTTGAGAAGAGAATCATAGGCAGTTTATTTTTTTTTAGCTTTGCGCGCCAATTTTAGCTTTGCAGACATCGCACTAAATTTCGGAATTATGCAGTGTGCTAAATTGGGTTTTACTATAAATGGATTAGATGTAGAAAGCTACAGCTGATTTAAAAAAAAAGGTCTGGAATGAAAAACCTTTTGCGGCCTTTTCTAACTACTTTGATCCCGCAACTTATCCTGAATCCTCTTTTCGCTTTTTATACACTCTGAATGTGTCTGAGTGACGACAGCCTCTTGAGTACCATCAGTTTAGCCACAAGGCTTTTAGTGTTGACTCACCTGCATTTTCTCCTGATATGGTGATCAAGGAACCTGTACCGATTCTGTATGCTCGTCTGCCCAACATGCCTTCTCTGTACCCAAAGTTATTGAGCTTGATACCAGTGATTTTTCTCTTTTCGGGCATTTCCTGAATGGCAACATCTACCACTACTACACCTTCAACTCCACCATGAGAGAGAATCTCTTCTTTCATCTGTTCCACGGTTGTTACATCATGACCCTGGTTGATATACCGGCCGATGTGGTTCTTACAGGTTGCTAACATGTGGTTGGCTGGACCCTTGCCTCCCTGGGGGTCTGAAAACTCTACTACGAGGACAGAAACACCAGATGACAACTGGATGGCAGGTATAGCGACGATAGTCGTTGCACTGTGATAGCATCCGGCATTGTCTTGTTGAAAGTATGCGTACTGGATCTCAGGATTGTCAGTCTGCAGTGTCTGTAAAACATGTTCCAGGAGAAGAATGACAGTGGAACTTCCCTGATTGCACGATTGTAATATGTACACAAATGTCTGTCTTTGGAACTGGCCATTGACTCACCATACTACCACGCTGATGTGCCATGATATCCCCCACTTACCAAACCAGTCGCTCTGTGTCTCCCTGTAGTGCTGCAGTAAAAATTTCATTGCCCAGTCATTGGTTATGAGGCATGTTTTTTCATCTAGGCGATCTAAAACATCCAATCGGGCTAGGTCCTACCTGACAGTTTGTATCTGATGGCATTTCCACAGGTGTATAGCATCTCTGGCATGCTGATAGAGGTACAGGGCCTTGTCTCGATCTTCATGCAAAGTGTAATTAGCTCGCTGAATGGCATTCTCGATATCATCCAGGAGCTCATTGAGGGCATTGCACTGACCACAGCGATCAGTATGGGCATGGTCGCATTTCTGTCTAAAGGACTCATCGGTGGGATCACTAGGGCCATATACACTACATTGATCAGGGA